GCCGGAAGCGACTCCGAAAGCTCCCCCATTTTTGAATCCGCCTCCATTCTCGCTTGACTGGCGAGGGTTGGCTCAGAAAAACTTCCCAGTGAAGGTGACTTTAAATTTTTTTCGAGTTGTAAAATACATATACTTACTAACGAATAAAACACCAACAACACCTGCAGGGTCTCCTGGTAGCCCAGACTGGTTTCTGACTCGTTTTGTAACTGAGGTGACTTTGAACTGAAGATCCTGTTGCCTCCAGAATGCTGGGATTATTGGTGTGCACTACACCTGGTTTATGAAATATGGGGATGGAACCTAGGACCTGATGCTTACTAGGCAAGCATGTCACCAACTGAGCTACATCCCCAGCTCCCAACTTAACTTTTAAATGTGTAGCTATGTGATAGTAAGTACATTCAAGCCAGGGGAGAGGCTTCAGGACGGGTCCCTAAGTGAAAAGGCAGGAGGGAGGGAGGAAGGGGGAAGAAGCCAGGGAAGGGGTGTGTGTGTGTGTGTGTGTGTGTGTGTGTGTGTGTGTAGGTAAAGGGCATCCCTAGCATACTAGACTCTGGGTTAATACACCAAACAGTAAAACCAAGATAGAAAGTCAAGTCCTATACAATTCCATTTTCATGAGGTCCATTCCTGGAGTAGTTAAAACCATAGACACAGGTTGAAGGAACTCTGGTCAGATCCAGTGTGGCAAGCATGGCTCTAGCAGGCCTTGTTCTTCTCCCTCATTCCCTCTGCCTTGCTAAAGAAACCGTTAGATTACATTCCTAAAGCTAGCTCCAAGGTCTATTCCCTTATTTGGCCACTTCCTCCTCCTGAGGCTGACTACCAAGGTCCAGCTATCAACCCCCCCCCATTTGGCTCACCTAATTAAATTGCCCAATTATCCTAACACCTAATTAACATGCCCAATCATCCAAACACGAGTTTCCCCCTGTACCTTTATAAACTGTCATCTTTTCTTTTCTTTCTTTTCCTACTCTTTCTTTCTTTCCTTCTTCTTCTTCTTCTTCTTCTTCTTCTTCTTCTTCTTCTTCTTCTTCTTCTTCTTCTTCTTTTGTTTTGATTTTTGAGACAGGGTTTCTCTGTGTAACAGCCCTGGCTGTCCTGGAACTCACACTGTAGACCATGCTGGCCTTGAATTAACAGAGATCTGCCTGCCTCTGCCTCCCGAGTGCTGGGATTAAAGGTGTGTGCCACCACTGTCTGGTTAAACTGCCATTTTTCTATGTGCTATGTCTGTCTCCTCTCTAATCCAGAAGCAGTCTTCTGTCCTGCACCCACCCCCCACCCCGTCCCAGGACAAATACCCCTGCCCCCTTTTCCTTGTTCTCTTTCCCTTCTCCCTTACCCTCTATCTCCTGTCTTTGTTTCTTAATCACTGCCCTCTGTCCTTCTGGGGCAAATAAATCTTCTTTGTGCTGAGAACTTGGTGTTGGGTCCTGAGCCAATCCTTTTCCTTTCACAGATAGATGGTGGCCTCCAGAACTGAGGAGGTGAACTGGGGATTTGGGATGTTAGGAGTACGAAGTTTCTATTGGGGTGGTGATGGCCATGCTTGAACAATTTTGTTTTTATTTCTTTGAAACAGGGTCTCACTCTATAGCCCAGGCTGACCTCAGCCTCCTGGTATCCTTCCTAGCTCAGCCTCCCAACACTAGTCACAAAATGCAGCTCCATGACATGTATGTAAGTGCCAGAACATGGGTGTCACAAACGTGGAGATTGGAGGACAACTTCTAGGAGTTCTCTTCTTTCACCATGTGTATTTTGGGCTGGATCTTGGGTTATCAGGTTTGGTGGCAAGTGCCCCTAACTGCTGAGCTACCTTGTTGGTCCATTGTCATTTTGAAATTATACATACTAGCTCTGCCTAGTAACAAGAGCCGGTATTCCCATCGGCTCAAGAAGCTGATGCAGAGCTACAAAGTGGATTTAAGGATAGTTGGACATTTTTTTAATTTTAAAAGACTTCATTTATTTATTATGTATACAGTTATCTGCATGCATGCTTGCACACCAGATCTCATTACAGATGGTTGTGAGCCACCATTTGGTTGCTGGGAATTGAACTCGGGTCCTCTGGAAGAGCTGTCAGTGCTCTTAACCTCTGAGCCATCTCTCCAGCCCCGATAGTCGGACAATTTAATGAGACTTCAGATACTGCTCAATGGAAGGATGCTGGGTTAGCATGTCTGCGGTCCCAGGTTCCATCTTCAGTACCACAAAAATAGTGAATAAATATATAGTACT